CTCCCTAGGCTATGGTGGTCTCTGTGGCTATGGGGGCTCTCTGGGTTACAGGGGACTGTATGGTAGATCCTATGGGTTTGGCTCTTGCAGCCCTTACTCCTACCGGTATGGCAGGTACCTCCGTGGCAGCTGCGGCCCCTGCTAAATCCTACTGAAATATCCCCTGATCAAAGAATGACTGGCAAATACATGATACAGTTTTGATCCTCAACTGAGCTCCTGAGTAAGGGGCAGAGCATCAGAGTTCCACTTCGAACAGTGGGGTCAGAATAGCTCCATAAATTACACTTATTTCCTTCTTTGTTTCATCTCCACTTCCTTGCCCCTGCCAGTGGCTAAATGTGTCAACTCCACCATCCTAGAGGATGCCTGCTTCTCCCTGAAACTGCCACCTCCTGGAAGAAGTCTGGAGGAACACTTCTCTTGAAGCTTGGGGGGACAACATGCCTGACTCTGTCTTATGTATCTTTCTCCACTGCAATAAAACAAGTCTGCATTCAATGCCTGCCTCTGCACCTTTCTGTCATAGCCCAGCCTGGGCTGAAGGGTTCCCTGGCCCTGCTGTGACAGGGGACCCTTCCAGCCAAGCCACAGCAGTCTCCCAGTCCTGGCAGCAGAGCTAGGCTGAGCTGCCTCTGGGGACACCCCACAGCCCTGGAAGCTCTGGTCACATATGATCTTGCTCCTAAGAATCCTCTCTGCCCAGTCTTTCATTGCTATTTAGCTGAAAATAGTGTCTCCCCTACTCTAACCACTCCAGTTGTCAGACATCCAGTAGTTAGCACAAATTTTCTTTTCACTAGTTAATTTAGTGCTTGGATTCCTTTTAATTTTACATCTTCTCAAGTGATGCACTAGAAATCATCAAAATGTGATCAAAGAAAAAAAAAATGTTGCCTGAAGTTCTGTCAAAGCATATTCCGAAAAAGAACAATAGGAGGAAGGTAAATAATAGGAAGCAATTTTTAAGATAGGTATCTGATGAGCAAAGATCAAGCACTGCCTCCTTTTTTGTTAATCACTGCTGTGATAACAGTTGCCTCAGGGAAGTTTTGGCTGAGTGTGTAAGTCATCTGGGTGAAGTGAAAAGAACAGGAGCTAATACAGAGGATTTACCTGAGGATTTCACTGAGACTCTTTCAAGGAACAGCTCCACATGTGGAGGTAGAATTTCTGAAGCCTATGTCAGTGTCATGGAACAGCAAGTTTGATTTTCACAGGTAACTTCGATGTTCCCCACCAAATGTAACTGTATGTGCTGTAAGAAGTAACAAGTTGAAATGAAAATTTGTCTCTAGTACACACAAATCTCACTTATAAAAAAACACTATTTTACTGATTAGCAAGTATTTATTGAGAATATTTTGACCAAAGAGAAGTTATTCACTGAAAGGCTGTCCTGCTTCATCCCCCCTGTCTCAACACTGCCTAACCTCATGGCCCTGTGATTTTTGGGAAAGATCAGGAGAGGTGGCAGGGGTGTCCGGAAAAGGACTGGAGCTTGCAGGACTCAGCTGAGAGCGCAGCCGCTGACCCATGTGTGTCTGGGATTTATGAAGATCCCAGCAGCTGAGCTGCAGAAGAAAGTCTCCTGTCTTTGGGGCACCAAGAAATGGCTTTGTCCCTGCTGCTGCTTTCCATGTTCACATGGCTTGAGGCCACTCAAGGACACTGCTCCTGTGAATTCTCAGGAGCTCAGGAGCCAACCTCCTTGTTCCTGCAACACCAGCCCTGCATCTCCTTGGCTCAGGTGCCTCTCTTGTGCTGAGAAAATCCCTCTTTCCTCCCAGCTAGTTCAGCCCAGGGCAGTTCCTGTGACAGCTTTACAAAACAAGGATGCTTGGTCTCATAGAATCATAGAATGGTTTGGGTTGGAAAGGACCTTGAGATCATCTAGTTCCAACCCCCTGCCATGGGCAGGGACAGCTCACAGTAGACCAACCTGGCCTTGAATGCTGTCAAGGGTGGAGCATTCACACTTTTCTGGGCAACCTCTGCCAGAGCCTCTCCACCATCAGAGTAAAGAACTTCTTCCTTATATATAACCTGAACTTCCCCTCTTTTAGTTTGAACCCATTACCCCTTCTACTATCACTACAGTTCCTGATGAAGAGTCCCTCTCCAGCACCCCTGTATGCTCCTCCCAGATATTGGAAGGCTGCTACTAGGTCACCACGCAGCTTTCTCCAGGCTGGCCAGTCCCAGCTTTATTAGCCTGTCTTTATAGAGGAGGTGCTCCAGCCCCCTTATCATCCTTGTGGCCTCCTCTGGACTTGCTCCAACAGCTGCATGTCCTTCTTATGTTGAGGACACCAGAACCCCTCTCTGTTTCCTCTCTGTTTCTCTTCTCCTCCACACCAGGATCCTTGCTCTAACACAGAGCCTGTAAGAAGTACTTCAGTGTAAATCATACATGATCACAGCTGAACGCTTGATCCCCAACTGCCAACTTTTTCCACTGATTCTCTCAGTAACGCAGTGTCAGACAGGTACCAGCAAGCTCCCAATTAGATGTGAATTGTGTCAGACAGTAAGTGCCTAGCCCAAGATAACAAGATTGGTGAGAGCTATTAGCACCCAGCTGACATGATTACATAGCTTCTATTTGGGCTGGATGCCTGTTCAGGGTGAACTCATGCCTGATTGCAAAATAGTACATAGAGATGCACTTCTATCAATGTCTCATGTTATATGGGAGTTAGAGGAATTAAAAGAGTTTACTACATTGGTTGCTCAAGGATAACTCTCAGAAAACGTCTGTTTATTTCCATTAATTACATTGAGGCATGATTCGGGAGCGTTCTGTTCTATCTGCTATTAACATAAAGCTGGATGACATTAAGCAGGAGGGAATCAGGCTTTAAGACAGGAAAAACAAGATGGCTTAACTGATGGGAATAACAGTAATGCTATTCCCCAAATGTCAGTAATACAGTGCAAAGCCATGCGGCTGCTGACTAGGAAGAAAAGATCTGGTGTAACACAAGCTATAATCAGAAAGTAGTGACAGAAGAAGAAAGTCTCTGAGTAGCCCCAATAGGTGACGGTAAGGTACAAGGAGATGGCATGCTCTTGAGTGAATCCATACTAAATACAGAATACCACAGAGTAGTAGTACTATAAGCAGAACCTGTATAAGGAGGGGGAAGAACACACCTAATTTTGTCCGTACTGCCAATGTACCACTACTTCTCCAAAAGAAAATTTAAATCAAAGAAACGTGAATGACACTAATCTGAAGTTAAATCACATGTACAACAATAAGAGATAGAATAATGTTCTGGGATGGGTCATCAAGAGGAAAATCAAGGAAAAGATGATCTGTGTTCGATTTTTGACACCAAGGTAGTTATAAATTCCCTCAATATCATATGATAGCAGTTTTATAAAAGTATGAAACTTTGCTCAATGAGAGGGAAACATTATATGTCCTCCTGAAAATCCAGTAGCTAAAGCAAGACCTTCTAATACATTAATAGTATGGCCCACATATATACCTGCACACGAATTTATACATTAGTATGCACATATGAAGAGGCATCTATACATCAGTGACCTGCTACCAATTCATTGCTACAGTTCTGCAATTAAAAAACTCCTCTCACCAATTACGGAAAATTTGCAACAAGCTGAGCAGCAAGTGCCTGGAGCAGAACAGGAGAAACTAGGAATCACCTTTCCTCTCCCAGATATGGTAAGGTACATGGTATCCTATGGTAAATTATGGGGATGAAAACATCAGCCCTTACAGTTACCAGGCACAAATATTGAGAAAAAGAGAGAGAGATGAACTTTTTATGCAAGAAAACTTTATTGTACCCGAAGTGGCAGGAGAGACTCTGAAAGAGCTTGTACGCAATTCTGCAAGACACTGCCTTCCCTGTCTTAGGGGAAACACAGGGCTCTTCTCCAGAGCATGGCTTCTGGTTTTGCATGACCCCTTGGTGTGGCATTCCAGATCCCCAGGACTTGACACATCAGAGCCTCAGGGTCATTTGGGTGAAGATCCTGCCTGAAGCAACACCAGACAAGAGAGGCGAGGGAAGAGAGCAGAGGGCAGGAAAAGAGGACAGTGATAAGCGGAGGCATGTGGCATTGCAAGAAGACAAGGCTTTAGCCAAGGCTGAGGAAGCTAAGCACTCCTAAGGGATCTGTGAACACCATCTAACCCCTGAAGGGCTGGGGGTGGGGTCACCTGGCTCTAGCAGGACCTACGGATGTCCCACAGCCTCTGGTTGTAGAGTGGAAGAGACAAAGGGTGGCAGGCGGCAGGAGCGTAGGGTCTGCCAAAGGTGCAGAGGCCCCCTGAGGCCTGAGTGGCCCCAGCACCATAGAGGCCTCCCAGCCCCAGGTTGCCCCCAAAGGCGGGTGCTCCGGAGGAGCCCACCACGGCTTGCTGGGGGAAGGAGCTGAGGATGGGGCCGGGGAAGGTGACAACCACAGGCGGTGGCTGGATGAAGGCTGAAGAGTCGGGGCACTGGCGGGCACACACCAAGAACAGATGTTGCGTCTCCCAGCCCATCGTTGAGAGCTGCAACGAGCTGTGCGCCCGCCAGTGAAGGTAGGCAAAGTAAGGAAAAGGGGAAGGAAAAGGGATAGAAAAATGTCTAGGAAAAGGAATTGGAGGCCTTCAGTCTGCTTTCTCCCGCAGAGCATCAAGCAGAGCCAAGGAAGCACACAGGGCTGGAGCCACTGCAGACATTGCCCCTGACCGCCACTGCTGCAGAGCCAGTGATGCGCAAGCAGCCTGGAGGTCTGCAGACGCCTGAAGGCTGCACGTCCCCTGGCAAGGGAGCAAGCGCATTCAGGCTGGGCTCCTAGAGCTCAGCTGTGGGGCCGTGTGTGTCCAGAGCTCCTGAAAAGCAGCTAAGCCTGGCTTTGCTGCTGCCGGGGCTGGGAGACTACCATGGCCTGTCTGGCAGGGCCCTGAGTAGGAGCAGGAAAGCCTGGTAGCCCAGGCTGGTCTGTGAACAGAAAGGTGCAGAGGCAGGCATTGGATGCAGGCTTGTTTTATTGCAGTGGAGAAAGACACATAAGGCACAAGTCGGAAGGTTTTCCTTCACAATTTCTGGAGAGGTGTTCCTTCAAACGTCTCCCAGTTGAAGGCTGCTTTAGAGACAAGGAAGTTTCTTGTGGGATTCTGGTGCAATAATGCATTAGGGCACAGGCAGGAGCAAGGAGGAGGAGATGTGTGATGGAGAGAGGAAAAGCATGGTACAAAAGGAGGAGGCCTAGGGGTGAGATGTCCTAGGAACTCTGGGGAATGTGGGGCTGGCTCTAGCAGGACCCACAGGAGTTCCAGAGCCTCTGGCTGTAGCGGGGCAGAGCCAGAGGGCTGCAGGCGGCAGGAGCGTAGGGTCTGCCAAAGGTGCAGAGACCCCCCGAGGCCTGAGTGGCCCCAGCACCGTAGAGGCCTCCCAGCCCCAGGTTGCCCCCAAAGGCGGGTGCTCCGGAGGAGCCCACCACGGCTTGCTGGGGGAAGGAGCTGAGGATGGGGCCGGGGAAGGTGACAACCACAGGCGGTGGCTGGATGAAGGCTGAAGAGTCGGGGCACTGGCGGGCGCACAGCTCGTTGCAGCTCTCAGCGATGGGCTGGGGGACGGCAACGCCGGTTCTTGGTGGGCACAGGTCGTAGCAAGACATCTTGGTGCGAGAGAGCTGAGCCTGCAATACCAAGCATGGGTGTCATGAGTGAAGGCTTGATCTCTCCTAGTTAAGAAGCGCTGTTCTCATGCTGCCCTGCAGCTACAGGGGCCACAGCCACTGCCTTGCCTGCGCTGCCCAGCGTTTGTCTTTGGCCCATCCATTCCCCATCTACGCCCTACTCTTCACACACAGAGTCCACACAATCCCTTCCCCAGAGCCTGCGCTGCTCCTGGCTCTGCTTGTGCTCATCAAGCGGCTCTATCCTCCCTCCTTCTGCCATCACTTAGGGCTGTCTCACCCTCCCCAGCCTGCTCCCCAGATGGCCACTGTGCCAGAGCTCTCCTGGATAGGGAGTCCCTCACCGGCCTTGGCCACCGGAGCCAGAACCCCGCAGGTACTCACCTACCCTTTTCCTGAGCAGAGCAAGGCAGGAGCGGTGGATGCCAGCACTCAGCCCGGGCAGTGCTTTTATGCCTGGCTGGCGAGGGTGGGGAGCAGCGGCCGTGCTGGGGGCACGTGGCTCACGGCAGCCAATTCCTGGCCTCCTCCCTGCGTGGTGCAGGGCTGTTTTGCTGATGCCGCTTCCTCACCAGCCCCAAGTCGCTCTATCAGCTCCAGCAATTACCCTGCTTGGTCACTTGACTGCTGCCACCTCATGGGTCAGATTGTCCCCACTGGCTTTTCATTATCTCCATGTGTCAGAGGGCAAGCAGCGTGACAAAGGCTGACTGCAAGTGCCAAGCGTGCCATGGCTCTTCCCCATGGGCTTGGTCTTAGGACATTTTCATACATTCCTTGCAAACCCACGGGGCAAAAAGACTGCTTTCACTGAGCAATAATTATTCTTTCAAAGGCTTCCTACACATGAACAACTGTGTGACATGCAGCCTGTGTCCATTATCTACAGAGGCAAGAAGTTGCAAAATGCAAAGTCAAAGGCACTGCTCTTGTACACTGCTTGCTCAGCACTGTGAACAACTCTCCACCTAAGACGAGCTAGCTTCTATCTGCCTACAGGTTCTGTATTTCAACCTCTCTAATGCTGGGGCAGAAGTGACATCCTACTTTTCTTTCCTGTTGTACGTTGTTTCAGGAGCATATACACCCAATTGGGCCTGCACATCATGAGATACGGCCAGCCCTGCTCCAGCACTGAGAGGGACTTTACAGTGTCTGTGGTGCTGGGGAGGCACAGGTTTTTGTGTGGGAGATGTTAGCTGTTATGTAGCCCATAGGGCAGAATGGGGAAGGAAGAAAACCTGGAAGTAAGCATATGCTGTCGGGGGAAGGGGATGCTGACTCAGGGAGGGGCAGGAGCTAGGGAACCCCGTCATCATGGGCAGGAAGGTGCTTCCACCTCTGCAGATTGGTTAAGGCACTGCTGAGCCATGGCAGGGCCGGTATAAAAGCTGTGCCTCTGCCAGTCTCTCCCAACCACCACTCTGGTCGCCTCCTCCTCCAGGAACAGGGTAAGTCTGTGAGCGCTTGTCCTTCTGGCCCTGTGCACCAGCCCCAAGCTGTCCATCTTGGGAGTTACCCTTTGCTGCCCCTTTCAACCTGTAACTCTTGCAGAGCACCATTCCATTGCACACCAAGATGTCTTGCTACGACCTGTGCCCACCAAGAACCGGCGTTGCCGTCCCCCAGCCCATCGCTGAGAGCTGCAACGAGCTGTGCGCCCGCCAGTGCCCCGACTCTTCAGCCTTCATCCAGCCACCGCCTGTGGTTGTCACCTTCCCCGGCCCCATCCTCAGCTCCTTCCCCCAGCAAGCCGTGGTGGGCTCCTCCGGAGCACCCGCCTTTGGGGGCAACCTGGGGCTGGGAGGCCTCTACGGTGCTGGGGCCACTCAGGCCTCGGGGGGTCTCTGCACCTTTGGCAGACCCTACGCTCCTGCCGCCTGCAGCCCTCTGGCTCTGCCCCGCTACAGCCAGAGGCTCTGGAACTCCTGTGGGTCCTGCTAGAGCCAGGTCAGCTCCACCATACCTATTCTGGGGTGAGATGGCTTGTACAGGCCACTCTGAGGAGTGCTGAGCATTCTCATCCCGAACCAAGCTCTGGGCAGCCGGCTATGTCCCATGCCCTCTGCTTTTTGTTGTCATCTTCTCCTGCCCTCTACTCTTCTCACCACTCCTCTCTTATCAGTTGTCACAGGGTGCTGACGCTGCACTCAAATTCCCTCTGGGACTGGTCAGCTAAGTCCTACAGATTTGGAATATCGAAGCAAGGGTGATTGCAGAGCCAAAAGCTATGCTCTGGAGACAATGCCTCTGCTTCCCCAAAGATGTGGCAGCCAGTCTCTCTTGGATTTGCTCACCGACTCTATGACAGTCTTTCCTGCCCCTCTATGCGCAATAAAGTTTTCCTGCATCTAAGCTTTGTCTCCCTCCCTTCTTCTCCCAGCTGGGGAGATCATGGAGTCGTTTGCCAGGAAAATGTAGGAGGTCAAATGCTGGTCCTGGGATGCCCCAGTTATGGAAGGGTGGGTGGTGTTGGATCTTGAACCATACAGGCAGGATGTAGGAAGTACTTTGGTGGGATTGCATTTGCCGGGGAAAAGACAAGATCAGAACAGGCTCTTGCAGTGCCCCTGTGCCTGCTCTTCACTGCCTGGGAGTGGCACCATATCTGACAGGTTCTGAAGCTGTGCTGCAGCAATACAGCTGTGCCCTTTTCAGAGATGTCCAGTGCCAGGACTACAGGAAATGGGCTCCAGCAAAAAGTAGGAGGCTCTACCTCAACAACCCAAGCCTTTTTTCCATCATCAGAATGAGGAGTTGCTGGCAGAAGTTGTTCAAGACCTCGTGGAGACTTTGTGCTTGAAGAGGCACAAAAGCCCCTGGAAATGGTCCTGGGCAGCTGGCTCCTTGTGATCCTGCTTGAAGTAACAACATGACAAAATGCCCTCCCTGCAAAGGTTGCTTTCACTGTCATCAAACTGTGATCCCTGTGATTTTGTGTGTGCAGCAGGGAATCACGAAGCAGTGAGCATGCTGGTCTGTGTTGGGAGATAGCAAGGGTAAAAGAGAAGTAAAGGGAGAAAGAAGAGGAAATTGGCAAATGTGTGAGAAGAGGAAGTAGAAGAAAGGTGTTAATGTAGGAGGAGGGAATGGAACAGAGGAGGAAGAAAGGGACCAGTGTAAGGAAGAGGAAGGGGAACCTTTACCTTTGTGTTCTTCCACAGAGCCTCAAGCAGAGGCTGGGAGGCACACAGGGCTGGAGCCACTGCAAGCATTGCCTAAGGCTTCCTCCAGTCCCTGGTGCAGACCCACTGATGCACAAGGAGCCTGCAGGTCTGCAGAAGCCCTAGGGCTGCATGTCCCGCAGGCAGGAGAGCAAGTGCCTTCCGCCAGGGATCATAGAGTGCAGTTGTGGGGCCATGTGTGTCCAGAGCTTCCCAGGCTTTGTTCTGCCCCAAAGGCAGCTCAGCCCAGCTGTGCTGCTTGGGGTGGAAGACTCCCATGACCTGGAAGACACGGCCCGCATCAGGCTGAGCAGTAACAGAAAAGTGCAGAGACAGGCATTGGATGCAGGTTCGTTTTATTAAACAGGAAAATGACACAAAAGGCAGAAACAGGAAGATTTTTCTTCTGGGTTAAGAAAAGGATGTTCCATCAGGCTTCCATCATCAGGTGAAAAGAAGGGGAAATAAGAGAGGAGGCCTAAGGGTGAGGTGTCCCAAAAAACTCAGGTATTTGGGGCTGGCTTTAGCAGGACCCACAGGTGTCCCACAGCCTCTGGCTGTAGCGGGGCAGAGCCAGAGGGCTGCAGGCGGCAGGAGCGTAGGGTCTGCCAAAGGTGCAGAGACCCCCCGAGGCCTGAGTGGCCCCAGCACCGTAGAGGCCTCCCAGCCCCAGGTTGCCCCCAAAGGCGGGTGCTCCGGAGGAGCCCACCACGGCTTGCTGGGGGAAGGAGCTGAGGATGGGGCCGGGGAAGGTGACAACCACAGGCGGTGGCTGGATGAAGGCTGAAGAGTCGGGGCACTGGCGGGCGCACAGCTCGTTGCAGCTCTCAGCGATGGGCTGGGGGACGGCAACGCCGGTTCTTGGTGGGCACAGGTCGTAGCAAGACATCTTGGTGTGCAATGGAATGGTGCTCTGCAAGAGTTACAGGTTGTAAGAGAGCAGCAAAGGGTAACTCCCAAGATGGACAGCTTGGGGCTGGTGCACAGGGCCAGAAGGACAAGCGCTCACAGACTTACCCTGTTCCTGGAGGAGGAGGCGACCAGAGTGGTGGTTGGGAGAGACTGGCAGAGGCACAGCTTTTATACCGGCCTTGCCAAGGCTCAGCAGTGCCTGGGCCAATCTGCAGAGTTGGAAACACCTTCTGTCCCGTGATGACGGGGCTGTCTGGCTCCTGCCCCTCCCTGAGTCAGCATCCCCTTGCCACGACAGCACATGCTACTTCCAAGCTTCCTTCCCTCCCCATTCTGCTCTGTGGGCTACATGACAGCTGACATCTCCCACACACAACAATGTTGCTCCAAAGCTCCACAAACACCATCAAGGAGCTTTCCGTTCTGGATCACTGATGGAAACATCCCGTGATATCTGGGCCCGAGTGGGGATCTGTGCTCCCTACGCCACTTAACTGAGGGAAGAACAGCATGGGGACTCTTGCTGGCCTAGATTGGCAGAGGTCAATGCCCAGTGCCTGCAGGCATAGGGGAGCCTGCTCCCTTGCTCTTAGCAGGCAGTGATACGCAGTGCTGAGCAGGCCGATCCCAACAGGAATGCCTTTGATTTGGCATTTCGTAACCTCACGCTTCTGCAGATAATGGATGCTGGGAGCACATCACACTGTCACTGGCATGGGGGAAGCCTTGACAAGGCAAATGCTTGCTCAGCACCCTCATATGCCCTGTGGCTCTTCAAAGAATGCCTGAGGCCGCCCTGAGATCAAGCCCGTGAGGAAGAGCCATGGCACGCTTGGCACTTGCAGTCAGCCTTTGTCACGCTGCTTGCCCTCTGACACATGGAGATAATGAAAAGCCAGTGGGGACAATCTGACCCATGAGGTGGCAGCAGTCAAGTGACCAAGCAGGGTAATTGCTGGAGCTGATAGAGCGACTTGGGGCTGGTGAGGAAGCGGCATCAGCAAAACAGCCCTGCACCACGCAGGGAGGAGGCCAGGAATTGGCTGCCATGAGCCACGTGCCCCCAGCACGGCCGCTGCTCCCCACCCTCGCCAGCCAGGCATAAAAGCACTGCCCGGGCTGAGTGCTGGCATCCACCGCTCCTGCCTTGCTCTGCTCAGGAAAAGGGTAGGTGAGTACCTGCGGGGCTCTGCCTCCGGTGGCCAAGGCCGGTGAGGGACTCCCTATCCAGGAGAGCTCTGGCACAGTGGCCATCGGGGGAGCAGGCTGGGGAGGGTGAGACAGCCCTAAGTGATGGCAGAAGGAGGGAGGATAGAGCCGCTTGACGAGCACAAGCAGAGCCAGGAGCAGCGCAGGCTCTGGGGAAGGGATTGTGTGGACTCTGTGTGTGAAGAGTAGGGCGTAGATGGGGAATGGACGGGCCAAAGACAAACGCTGGGCAGCGCAGGCAAGGCAGTGGCTCTGGCCCCTGTAGCTGCAGGGCAGCATGAGAACAGCGCTTCTTAACTAGGAGAGATGAAGGCTTCACTCATGACACCCATGCTTGGTATTGCAGGCTCAGCTCTCTCGCACCAAGATGTCTTGCTACGACCTGTGCCCACCAAGAACCGGCGTTGCCGTCCCCCAGCCCATCGCTGAGAGCTGCAACGAGCTGTGCGCCCGCCAGTGCCCCGACTCTTCAGCCTTCATCCAGCCACCGCCTGTGGTTGTCACCTTCCCCGGCCCCATCCTCAGCTCCTTCCCCCAGCAAGCCGTGGTGGGCTCCTCCGGAGCACCCGCCTTTGGGGGCAACCTGGGGCTGGGAGGCCTCTACGGTGCTGGGGCCACTCAGGCCTCGGGGGGTCTCTGCACCTTTGGCAGACCCTACGCTCCTGCCGCCTGCAGCCCTCTGGCTCTGCCCCGCTACAGCCAGAGGCTCTGGAACTCCTGTGGGTCCTGCTAGAGCCAGCCCCACATTCCCCAGAGTTCCTAGGACATCTCACCCCTAGGCCTCCTCCTTTTGTACCATGCTTTTCCTCTCTCCATCACACATCTCCTCCTCCTTGCTCCTGCCTGTGCCCTAATGCATTATTGCACCAGAATCCCACAAGAAACTTCCTTGTCTCTAAAGCAGCCTTCAACTGGGAGACGTTTGAAGGAACACCTCTCCAGAAATTGTGAAGGAAAACCTTCCGACTTGTGCCTTATGTGTCTTTCTCCACTGCAATAAAACAAGCCTGCATCCAATGCCTGCCTCTGCACCTTTCTGTTCACAGACCAGCCTGGGCTACCAGGCTTTCCTGCTCCTGCTCAGGGCCCTGCCAGACAGGCCATGGTAGTCTCCCACCCCCAGCAGCAGCAAAGCCAGGCTTAGGTGCTTTTCAGGAGCTCTGGACACACACGGCCCCACAGCTGAGCTCTAGGAGCCCAGCCTGAATGCGCTTGCTCCCTTGCCAGGGGACGTGCAGCCTTAAGGCGTCTGCAGACCTCCAGCCTCCTTGCGCATCACTGGCTCTGCACCAGTGGCGGTCAGGGGCAATGTCTGCAGTGGCTCCAGCCCTGTGTGCTTCCTTGGCTCTGCTTGATGCTCTGCGGGAGAAAGCAGACTGAAGGCCTCCAATTCCTTTTCCTAGACATTGTTCTACCCCTTTTCCTTCCCCTTTTCCTTCCTTTGCCTACCTGTTTTCTCCTCCTCTGGTTCATTCCATCCTGACTTATTCAACCCCTTATCTCTTATTCTTCCCCTTGCACTTCTGCCTTTTCCCTCTTCTTCTTCCCCTTCCTTCTCTTTTTCTATCGCTAATTCCCAGCACTGACCAACATGCTTGAGCCAACTTATTTCCCCAATGCACGTGCTAAAGCACAAGAATCACAGCTTGATGAGAGTGGGAGCAGCTTGTGCAAGAAAGCATCTTGTCATGCTGCTGCCTCAAGCAAGATCACCTGGAGCTGGCAGCCCTGAACCATGTCCAGAGGCTATTGTCCATCTCCAAGAACAGAAACTCCACAAGCTCCACGACAACCTCTTCCAGTACTTGCTCATCCTCACGGTGAAAATACTGTCTTGGGAAGTTGAGGTTTCCATGGATCCCATTTCCTGTAGTCCTGCACTGGACACCTCTGGAAAGAGCCTGGCTCCAGCTTCTCAACAGCTTAACTTCAGACCTGTGTGCACACTGACTAGACTCCGTGAGCATCCTCTGTACAAGCAGTACTTAATCCAGCTCTCTGATGACCTCGCCACAGGACAGGTTCTCTCTGTCCTGCCATCATTGTCCTGCTTTCATCCCAGCTGCCCACTAAACAACACAGAAGAGCTCCCTCACAACGTCCCCACTGGGATGGAGAGAGAACTGGAGGTCTAAAATTTGAAAAAAATCATGGCATGAGGGAATGACACCTCCATAATGGAAGCAACGTGATGCAGCAAGCAAAGTAAACAAAGAATTCATTCTAGACTTGCCGTTGACAGCAGATGTTCAGCCATCTCCAGAAAAGCAGGACTCCACCACATGTAATGTTTGTACCACAGGGTACAGCTGAACGCTTTTGAGCAAGGTATGTTTCTGGATCCTGCTCCACTTGGTGTCCCTACGCACCCCCAGGGCCTTTCCTGACAAAGTACTCTTCACAACCCATGCCACGTTGCTGGCACAGGGTTTAATGCTATCTCTCTCCAAGTCTCCTCTGTGCAGATGCCTGGAAATGCCGTATTGTTTCTGCAGAGCATTGCGACCTGTTGGAGCTGGTGCCACTCCCAAGCGGCGAAGAGCAGGCACAAGAGCACTGCCTGAGCCTATCTCGATCTCTGTGCTACCTCCAGCTCCTGCAAGACCACCCAAAAGCTTTTCTCCATCCTGCCTGAACGTTTCATGATCCATCAGCACCCACCCTCACCTAAGCTGGGCAACTCAGGACCAGCATTTGCCCTCCCACAGTTGCCTGGCACCTGCCTCCGTGGTCTCCCCAGCTGGGAGAAGAAGGGAGGGAGACAAAGCTTAGATGCAGGAAAAGTTTATTTTGCCAGAGGAGCTGGAAAGACTGTCACAGAAGCAGAGGCCAAATCCCTTGGAAGAAGCAGAGGCATTGTCTCCAGAGCATGTCTTCAAGAGCGGCATACTGCCTTGCTGAGGCACTCCAGATCCCCAGGACTTGTTCCATGAGGCCCCCAGAGCATTTTACGTGCAGAACCTACCCCAACTGGGAAGAGAGTGGAAAAGGGAGGAGAGCAGAGGGCAGCAGAGGGCAGGGATGAGCGGAGGGTGTGCAACATTGCCATTCCCTTATCTAGGGATGAGGATGCTCAGCATCTGACCCCAGAATGGGTATGGTGGAGTTGACCTGGCTCTAGCAGGACCCACAGGAGTTCCAGAGCCTCTGGCTGTAGCGGGGCAGAGCCAGAGGGCTGCAGGCGGCAGGAGCGTAGGGTCTGCCAAAGGTGCAGAGGCCCCCTGAGGCCTGAGTGGCCCCAGCACCGTAGAGGCCTCCCAGCCCCAGGTTGCCCCCAAAGGCGGGTGCTCCGGAGGAGCCCACCACGGCTTGCTGGGGGAAGGAGCTGAGGATGGGGCCGGGGAAGGTGACAACCACAGGCGGTGGCTGGATGAAGGCTGAAGAGTCGGGGCACTGGCGGGCGCACAGCTCGTTGCAGCTCTCAGCGATGGGCTGGGGGACGGCAACGCCGGTTCTTGGTGGGCACAGGTCGTAGCAAGACATCTTGGTGTGCAATGGAATGGTGCTCTGCAAGAGTTACAGGTTGTAAGAGAGCAGCAAAGGGTAACTCCCAAGATGGACAGCTTGGGGCTGGTGCACAGGGCCAGAAGGACAAGCGCTCACAGACTTACCCTGTTCCTGGAGGAGGAGGCGACCAGAGTGGTGGTTGGGAGAGACTGGCAGAGGCACAGCTTTTATACCGGCCTTGCCAAGGCTCAGCAGTACCTGGGCCAATCTGCAGAGTTGGAAACACCTTCTGTCCCGTGATGACGGGGCTGTTTGGCTCCTGCCCCTCCCTGAGTCAGCATCCCCTTGCCACGACAGCACATGCTACTTCCAAGCTTCCTTCCCTCCCCATTCTGCTCTGTGGGCTACATGACAGCTGACATCTCCCACACACAACAATGTTGCTCCAAAGCTCCACAAACACCATCATGGAGCTCTCCGTTCTGGATCGGGGATGGAAACATCCCGTGATATCTGGGCCCGAGTGGGGATCTGTGCTCCCTACGCCACTTAACTGAGGGAAGAACAGCATGGGGACTCTTGCTGGCCTAGATTGGCAGAGGTCAATGCCCAGTGCCTGCAGGCATAGGGGAGCCTGCTCCCTTGCTCTTAGCAGGCAGTGATACGCAGTGCTGAGCAGGCCGATCCCAACAGGAATGCCTTTGATTTGGCATTTCGTAACCTCACGCTTCTGCAGATAATGGATGCTGGGAGCACATCACACTGTCACTGGCATGGGGGAAGCCTTGACAAGGCAAATGCTTGCTCAGCACCCTCATATGCCCTGTGGCTCTTCAAAGAATGCCTGAGGCCGCCCTGAGATCAAGCCCGTGAGGAAGAGCCATGGCACGCTTGGCACTTGCAGTCAGCCTTTGTCACGCTGCTTGCCCTCTGACACATGGAGATAATGAAAAGCCAGTGGGGACAATCTGACCCATGAGGTGGCAGCAGTCAAGTGACCAAGCAGGGTAATTGCTGGAGCTGATAGAGCGACTTGGGGCTGGTGAGGAAGCGGCATCAGCAAAACAGCCCTGCACCACGCAGGGAGGAGGCCAGGAATTGGCTGCCATGAGCCACGTGCCCCCAGCACGGCCGCTGCTCCCCACCCTCGCCAGCCAGGCATAAAAGCACTGCCCGGGCTGAGTGCTGGCATCCACCGCTCCTGCCTTGCTCTGCTCAGGAAAAGGGTAGGTGAGTACCTGCGGGGTTCTGCCTCCGGTGGCCAAGGCCGGTGAGGGACTCCCTATCCAGGAGAGCTCTGGCACAGTGGCCATCGGGGGAGCAGGCTGGGGAGGGTGAGACAGCCCTAAGTGATGGCAGAAGGAGGGAGGATAGAGCCGCTTGACGAGCACAAGCAGAGCCAGGAGCAGCGCAGGCTCTGGGGAAGGGATTGTGTGGACTCTGTGTGTGAAGAGTAGGGCGTAGATGGGGAATGGATGGGCCAAAGACAAACGCTGGGCAGCGCAGGCAAGGCAGTGGCTCTGGCCCCTGTAGCTGCAGGGCAGCATGAGAACAGCGCTTCTTAACTAGGAGAGATGAAGCCTTCACTCATGACACCCATGCTTGGTATTGCAGGCTCAGCTCTCTCGCACCAAGATGTCTTGCTACGACCTGTGCCCACCAAGAACCGGCGTTGCCGTCCCCCAGCCCATCGCTGAGAGCTGCAACGAGCTGTGCGCCCGCCAGTGCCCCGACTCTTCAGCCTTCATCCAGCCACCGCCTGTGGTTGTCACCTTCCCCGGCCCCATCCTCAGCTCCTTCCCCCAGCAAGCCGTGGTGGGCTCCTCCGGAGCACCCGCCTTTGGGGGCAACCTGGGGCTGGGAGGCCTCTACGGTGCTGGGGCCACTCAGGCCTCAGGGGGTCTCTGCACCTTTGGCAGACCCTACGCTCCTGCCGCCTGCAGCCCTCTGGCTCTGCCCCGCTACAGCCAGAGGCTCTGGAACTCCTGTGGGTCCTGCTAGAGTCAGGTCCAAGGACTTGAGAGTCCCTGGGACACCTCACCCTTAGGCCTCCACTCTTATTTCCCCTGCTTTCCCTTTCTCCATGACACTTCTTCTTGCCCCATCTTACGCTCATATGTGTGTTTTCACTTGTGTCCCTGAAGTAAGTTCCTGGATTTTAAGGCAGCCACCACCTGGGAGAATGCTAAAGTAACACCTCTCTTTGAGTGCAGATAGAAAATCTTCCTGCCCCTTTTGTGTCATTTTCCAGTTCAATAAAACAAACCTGCATCCAATGCCTGTCTCCGCACCTTTCTGTTACTGCCCAGGCTGGTGCTGATTCGGGCCATGCCTGCCAGTCCACGGCAGTCTCCCAGCCCTAGCAGCACAACCACACTGAGCTGCCTTTGGGACACTCCACAGCGTGGGGAGCTGTGGACACACTCGGCCCCACATCTGCTCTCCTTGGGCCCAGGCTAAAGACACTTGCTCTCTTGCCCATGGGACATGCAGCCCTAGAGCATCTGCAGATCTCCAGCCTCCTTGCATTTAAGCATGGCTTCCCTAAACCATTGCCTTCAGTCTTCCTTTCTTCTTCTTTCCTATTCCTTGCTCCTTATTCTCCCCCTTCCCTCTTCTGTTTCTCTTCTTTCTCTCCTTCCACTTTTCCTTCCTTCTCGTTCTCTCTTGTTAAACCCCTGCACAGAACTATGCACTCGTTGCCCCTTTGTTCCCTGTCGCACACACAAAATCACAGGAATCACAGCCTGATAACAATGGGAGCAGCCTTTTGCAGGGACGGCTTCTTGTCATGCTGTTCTCTCAAGCTGGGTCACTGGGAGCCATGTGCCCAGCACCACATCCAAGGGACATTTGCACCTCTGCAAGAGCAGAGACTTCACAAGCCGCCAGGCCAAGTGGTGTCAGTGCTTGCTCAACCTCACCCTGCAGGAAGGGGCTGGGGTGTTAAAAATGAGCCTCCTCTGTTTCCCTGGATCCCATTCTCTCTAGGCCTGGCACTGACGCCTCAGAAAAGAGCCTCATTACATCTTCTCAAGACCTTCCCTTCAGACATGTGTGTACATTTATGGGACCCCCTGAGCATCCTCTGCACCAGGAGTAGTCCCAGTTCTTTGATCCCTTCACCACAAGACAGATTCTCACTGTCCTGACAGCTTTAACTCCAGCTGGCCACTAAACACAAGAAGCAGCTCACTCACAACTTCCCCACTAGGATGAGGAGAGAACTGGAGGGATAAAAGTAAGGAAACTTGCAGGATGAATGAAGTTGCTAAGCCACTGTCCATCGTACTTGAAAAACAATGGCTATCAGGTGAAGTTCCGGAAGACTGGAAAAGGGGTTATATAACCCCCATTTTCAAGAAGGGGAAAGATGGATGACCCAGGGAACTGCAGACCAGTCAGTGTCACCTCTGTGCCTGACAAATTATTGGAGTAGATTCTCCTGGAAAGCATGCTAAGGCACATGAAAAACAACAAGGTGGTTGGTGACATCCAACATGTTTTCACTAAGGGGAAATCCTGTCTGACCAATTTGGTGGCCTTCTAATATGGGGCTACAGAACTGATGGACAGGGTCAGAGCAGTTGACGTCATCTACCTGCACTTGTGCAAAGCATTCAACACTGTCCCACACAACATTCTTGTCTCTAAATTGGACACATCAATCTGATAGATGGACCACTCTGTGGATAAAGAACTGGCTGGATGGTTGCATGCAAAGTATTGTGGTCAATGGCTCAATATCCGGTTAGAAAACAGTAACAAGCAGCGTCCCTCAGGGATCGGTGTTGGGACCGATCTTGTTCAACATCTCTGTTGGCCACATGGACAGTGGGATTGAGTGTGCCCTCAGCAAGTTTGCAGATGACACCAAGCTGTGTGGTTCAGTTGATATGTTGGAGGGAAGGGATACCATCCAGAGGGACCTTGCCACACTTGTGAGATGGCCAATGCCAACCTCATGAAGTTCAACCAAGCCAAGTGCAAGGTCCTATACCTGGGTCAGACAACCCCAAGAGCAGCTACAGATTGGGCAAAGAAGAGGTTCAGAACAGCCTTGTGGAGAAGGACTTGGGAGTGCTGGTCATTGAGAAACATGAGCTGGTAGTGTGTGCTCACAGATCAGAAAGCAAACCATATCCTGGGCTGCATCAAAAGGAGCGTGACCAGCAGGTCAAAGGAGGTGATCCTGCCCCTCTGCTCTGCTCTTGTGAAACCTCATTTGGAGTATTGTGTACAGTTCGGGTGTCCTCAACATAAAAATGACATTGAGCTTTTGGAGCAAGTCCAGAGGACGTCCATGAGGATGATCAGGGGCTGGAGCACCTCCCGTATGAAGACAGGCTGAGAAAATGGGGGCTGTCTAGCCTGTATAAGAGAAGGCTGCAAGGAGACTTCAGAGCAGCCTTCCAGTATCTGAAGGGGCTCTATAGGAATGCAGAGGAGAGACTCTTCATTAGGGACTCTAGTGGCAGGACAAGGGGTAACAGGTTCAAACTTAAACAGAGGAACTTCAGATTAGATATAAGGCAGAAGCTCTTCACAGTGAGGGTGGTGAGGCACTGGAATGGCTCACCCAAGGAAACTGTGCATGCTCCATCCCTGGCAGTGTTGTAGGCCAGGTTGGACAGAGCCTTGGGCGACCTGGTTTACTGTGAGGTTCCCTTGCCCAAGGCAGGGGGGTTGGAACAAGATAATATTGATGTCCTTCCCAACCCCAACTATTCTATGATACTATGATTCTATGAGAGAAAGACACCTCCATAAAGGGAAGCAAAAGCCATGTAAAAACAAGCAAAGCAAACCAAGGAACTGACTGCAGACTTGTCATGGGCAGCCATTTTTGACCATCTCCATGAAAGCAGGGATCCTTCACATGTAACTGTTTCAGTCCAGGATACAGCAGAAAGTCCTTGGCCAGAGTATTCTTCTGGCTCTTGCTTGGGGTTGCCCGTTACCCTCAGAGCCTTTCTTGACAAACTGCACTTCACAACCCACTGCCATGTCCCTGGCATGCAGGTTAATACTCGCTCTTGCCAGCCTCCTCTGTGCAGATGCAGAGCACTGGGGGCCTGTTGGAACAGCTGCAGGTCTTTGGGAGAAGAGCACGCACAGGAACGCTGCCAGAGCCTATTCTGATCTCTTCCCTTTCACTGGCTTCTTCAAGCCCCACCAAACACTTTCCTCCATCCTGCCTGCAGGCTCAGTGTCCCACCACCACCCACCTTCACCTAACCTGTGCCCTAAATCTCTACAACTGGGAGAACAAGAGAGGGAGACAAAGCTCGGATGCAGGAAAACTTTATTGTGCTCAGAGGGGCAGGAGAGACTGTCACAGAACCAGTGGGCAAATCCCAGAGAGACTGGCTGCCATGTCTTTGGGGAAACAGAGGCAATTTCTCAAAAGAATGACTTCTGGCTTTTCATGCCCCCTTGCTGTGGCATTCCAGATCCCCAGGACTTGACGCGTCAGCCTCACAGGATCTTTTAGGTACAGGTCCTGCCCTGTGAGGCAGCTGAGATAAGATGGGAGGGGAGGAGATCAGGCAGCAGGAGAAGAGAGCAGAGACGAGCAGAATGTGTGTGGCACTGCCAGCTATCAAGGCCTTGGATGGGGATGGGGATGCTCATCACTCCTCAGTGCCTTGTGCCAGCCATGTCACTCCTGCAGAGATGTTGGTGGGTATGGCCTGGTTCTAGCAGGACCCACGGGTGTCCCACAGCCTCTGGCTGTAGCGGGGCAGAGCCAGAGGGCTGCAGGCGGCAGGAGCGTAGGGTCTGCCAAAGGTGCAGAGGCCCCCCGAGGCCTGAGTGGCCCCAGCACCGTAGAGGCCTCCCAGCCCCAGGTTGCCCCCAAAGGCGGGTGCTCCGGAGGAGCCCACCACGGCTTGCTGGGGGAAGGAGCTGAGGATGGGGCCGGGGAAGGTGACAACCACAGGCGGTGGCTGGATGAAGGCTGAAGAGTCGGGGCACTGGCGGGCGCACAGCTCGTTGCAGCTCTCAGCGATGGGCTGGGGGACGGCAACGCCGGTTCTTGGTGGGCACAGGTCGTAGCAAGACATCTTGGTGTGAGAAGAGAGGTGAGCCTGCAACAGAAGGCACCAAGTCTGGGTATCATGAGCAAGGTACGGATTGCTCCTGGCCAAGCAGCTCTGTGTTCCTCATGCTACCCTGGAGCTTGAGGGCCCAGAGCCAATGCCCTGCCTGCACTCCCCACCACTTGCCCTTGGCCAACACAGCCCCGCTCAGCACCCTGCTCTCCACACACAGTGGCCACACAATCCCTTCCAGGAGCCTGTGCAGGGCCTGGCTCTGTGTGTCCTGGGCACACAGCTTCTTTCTCCCTTTTCCTGCCTTGGCTCAGGGCACTCTGGCCATCCCAGCCTGCTGCCAGCACAGACGATGCTGCCAGAACTCTCCTGGCCAGAGAGGTCCTCACCAGCCTCAGCCACAGGAGGCAGAGCCCCGCAGGTACTCACCTACCCTTTTCCTGAGCAGAGCAAGGCAGGAGCGGTGGATGCCAGCACTCAGCCCGGGCAGTGCTTTTATGCCTGGCTGGCGAGGGTGGGGAGCAGCGGCCGTGCTGGGGGCACGTGGTTTGTGGCTGCTGATCCCTGGCCTCCTCCCTGCATGGTGCAGGGCTGTTTTGCTGATGCCGGTTCTTTGGCAGCCCCAACTCACTCTATCAGCTCCAGCCATTACCCTGCTTGGTCGCTTGACAGCTGCCACCTCATGAGTTAGATTGTCCCCACTGGCTTCTCATTATCTCCATGTGTAATAGGGTACTGAGTGTGACAAAGGCTGAGTGCAAGCACCCTGCCTTCCATGGCTTTCCACAGTCTTGATCTCAAGGTGACCTCAAGCATCCCTTGCAGAGCCACAGAGAAGACCAGGGTTCTGGCCAGGACAAGAATTACCCTTGCCAAAAACTCCCACAAGGCAACGACAACGTGATGTGCTCTCAGTGTCCATTATCTTCAGATTCATGAGGTCACAAAACAACAAATCAAAGGCACTCATGCAGGGCACTGCCTGCTCTGCATTGTTCATCCCTTGCCGGATGAAGGGAGCTGGCTTCCATGAGTCTGCAGGCACTGGCCTTTGACCTCTGCCAGTCTGGGCCAGCAACAGGCTTCATGGTCTTTCCTGAGGTAACTGGTGTAAGAAGCACAGGCTCACACACAGATCCAAGCAGCAATGGATGTGGCCAGCCCTGCCCCAGAACTGAGAGGACCTTGATGGTGTTTGGAGAACTTTGGAGGAACATTGTTGTGTGGGGGACATCTCAGCTGTCATGTAGCCCATGAAGAATAATGGAGAGGGAAAGAATCCTGGAAGCAGAATGTGCTGTGCTGGCAAGGGGATGTTGACTCAGGGAGGGGCAGGAGCCAGACAGCCCGGTTATCAGGGACAGGAAGGTGTTTCCACCTCTGCAGATTGGCCCAGGTACTGCTGAGCCATGGCAAGGCCAATATAAAAGCTGTGTCTCTGCCAGTCTCTCACAACCACCACTCTGGTCGCCTCCTCCTCCAGAAACAGGGTAAGTCTATGAGTACTTTGCCTTGTAGCTCCCTGTTCCAGCCCTGACCTCTCCGTCTTGTCTGCTACCCCTCCTGTTCTCTTACAACTTCTGTCTTCTTGCAGAGCACCATTCCGTTGCACACCAAGATGTCTTGCTACGACCTGTGCCCACCAAGAACCGGCGTTGCCGTCCCCCAGCCCATCGCTGAGAGCTGCAACGAGCTGTGCGCCCGCCAGTGCCCCGACTCTTCAGCCTTCATCCAGCCACCGCCTGTGGTTGTCACCTTCCCCGGCCCCATCCTCAGCTCCTTCCCCCAGCAAGCCGTGGTGGGCTCCTCCGGAGCACCCGCCTTTGGGGGCAACCTGGGGCTGGGAGGCCTCTACGGTGCTGGGGCCACTCAGGCCTCGGGGGGCCTCTGCACCTTTGGCAGACCCTATGCTCCTGCCACCTGCAGCCCTCTGGCTCTGCCCCGCTACAGCCAGAGGCTGTGGGACACCCGTGGGTCCTGCTAGAACCAGGCCATGCCCACCAACATCTCTGCAGGAGTGACATGGCTGGCACAAGGCACTGAGGAGTGATGAGCATCCCCTTCCCCATCCAAGGCCTTGATAGCTGGCAGTGCCACGCACATTCTGCTCATCTCTGTTCTCTTCTGCTGCCGCCTGTTCTCCTCCCCTCCCATCTTATCTCAGCTGCCTCACAGGGCAGGACCTGTACCTAAAAGATCCTGTGAGGCTGACACGTCAAGTCCTGAGGATCTGGAATGCCACAGCAAGGGGGCATGAAAAGCCAGAAGTCATTCTTTTGAGAAATTGCCTCTGTTTCCCCAAAGACATGGCAGCCAGTCTCTCTGGGATTTGCCCACTGGTTCTGTGACAGTCTCTCCTGCCCCTCTGAGCACAATAAAGTTTTCCTGCATCCAAGCTTTGTCTCCCTCTCTTGTTCTCCCAGTTGTAGAGATTTAGGGCACAGGTTAGGTGAAGGTGGGTGGTGGTGGGACACAGAGCCTGTAGGCAGGATGAAGGAAAGTATTTGGTGGGGCTTGAAGAAGCCAGTGAAAGGGAAGAGATCAGAATAGGCCCTGGCAGCGTTCCTGTGCGTGCTCTTCTCCCAAAGAGCTGCAGCTGTTCCAACAGGCCCCCAGTGCTCTGCATCAGAGCCACAGCATGTCCAAGCATCTGCACAGAGGAGGCTGTCAAGAGGGAGTATTAACCTGCATGCCAGCTACGTTGGCAGTGGGTTGTGAAGTGCAGTTTGTCAAGAAAGCCCCTGGGGGTGCCGGGCAGCACCAAGGTGAGCAAGAGCTAGAAACATGGTCTAGTAAGGGCATTCTGCTGTATCCTGTGCTGCAACAACTGCATGTGATGGTCCCCTGCTTTCCTGGTGATGGATGAACATCTGCTGCACTTGGAGAATGAATTCCTTGGTTTACTTTGCTTGCCTGCATGGCATTTGCTTCCCTTATGGAGGTGTCTTTCTCTTATCCCATGTGTTTTCTCAATTCTATCCCTCTCTCCCCATCCCAGGAGGGAGGTAGAGGCAAGCTGCTCTGTGGTGTTTAGTGGCTAGCTGGGGTTAAAGCAGGAAAAAGATGGCAGGACAGGGAGAATCTGTCTTGTGGTGACGGAATCAGTGAGCTGGGACTTCTCCACACATAGAGGATGCTCAGGGGATTTCATCAATGTGTGTAAATATCTGAAGGGAAGGTGTTGAGAAGAGGGAGCCAAGCTCTTTTCCACAGTGTCAGTGCCAAGTCTAGAGGGAATGGGCTCCAGAGAAACACAGGAGTCTCATTCTTCACATCCCAAGCCCATTTCTGCAGGGTAAGGTTGAGCAAGCACTGACACCTCTTGGCTTAAGGGCTTGTGAAGTTTCTGCCCTTGTACAGGTGCAAAAGCCCCCTGGACATGGTGCTGGGCAGCCAGCTTCCAGTGTCCCTGTTTAAGAAGGCAGCATGACAAGATGCCCTTCCTGCAAAGGCTGCTCCTACTTTCATCAGGCTGTGATTCCTGTAATTTTGTGTGTGCAGCAGGGAACCAAGGAGCAGTGAGTGGGTGTTATGGAGGGAGAAGGAGAAGGAAGGGGAAGAAGAGAGAAGCAGAAGGGGAAGAAGAAGGGAGGAGGGGAAGAATTAGAAGGAGGGAATGGAAAAAAAGGCAGAGAAAGGAAAGAGACCGACATAGGCATAAGGAAGGTGAAGCCTCCCCTTCGTTTTCTCTCTCTGGGCCTCAAGCAGTGCCAAGGAGGCTCACAGGGCTGGAGCCACTGCAGGCATTACCTCTGACTGCCTTCAGGCCATGGTGTAGACACACAGATGTGCAAGGAGGCTGCAAGTCTGCAGATGCCCTAGGGCTGCATGTCCTGCTGGCAGGGGAGCACCCACCTTCAGCCTGTGTCCCTGGAGCTTAGCTCTGAGGATGTTTGTGTCCAGAGGGGCAAGGCTGTGGGGTCTCCCCAAAGGCAGCTCAGTGTGGCTCTGCTGCCAGGGCTGGAAGACCGCTGTGGCCTGTCTGGCTGTGTCCTGAGGAGGACCAGTGAACACTGCAGACCAGACTGGCCTGTAAAAGAATGATGCAGAAGCAGGCCTTGAATGCATGATTGTTTTATTGCAATAAAGAAAGAAACATAAGGCTGAAAAATGCAGATTTTCCTTCTGGGCTTCAGGAGAGGCATTTCTTCAGGCTTTCTGTAGGCAGTGGCTGCTTTAGAGATAAGCAATTTCCTTGTGGAACACTGGTGGAGTTACACAAACGGGAATGGGAAGGAGCAAGGAGAAAAGGCATCATGGTTAGAGGAAAATCAGGAAAAAACTGACGGGAGGCGTAAGTGTGAGATGTCCCAGGAACTCTGGGGAATGTGGGGCTGGCTCTAGCAGGACCCACAGGAGTTCCAGAGCCTCTGGCTGTAGCGGGGCAGAGCCAGAGGGCTGCAGGCGGCAGGAGCGTAGGGTCTGCCAGAGGTGCAGAGGCCCCCCGAGGCCTGAGTGGCCCCAGCACCGTAGAGGCCTCCCAGCCCCAGGTTGCCCCCAAAGGCGGGTGCTCCGGAGGAGCCCACCACGGCTTGCTGGGGGAAGGAGCTGAGGATGGGGCCGGGGAAGGTGACAACCACAGGCGGTGGCTGGATGAAGGCTGAAGAGTCGGGGCACTGGCGGGCGCACAGCTCGTTGCAGCTCTCAGCGATGGGCTGGGGGACGGCAACGCCGGTTCTTGGTGGGCACAGGTCGTAGCAAGACATCTTGGTGTGCAATGGAATGGTGCTCTGCAAGAGTTACAGGTTGTAAGAGAGCAGCAAAGGGTAACTCCCAAGATGGACAGCGTGGGGCTGGTGCACAGGGCCAGAAGGACAAGCGCTCACAGACTTACCCTGTTCCTGGAGGAAGAGGCGACCAGAGTGGTGGTTGGGAGAGACTGGCAGAGGCACAGCTTTTATACCGGCCTTGCCAAGGCTCAGCAGTACCTGGGCCAATCTGCAGAGCTGGAATCACCTTCCTGCCCATGATAATGGGGCTGTTTGGCTCCTGCCCCTCCCTGAGTAAGCATCCCCTTGCCAGAGCAGCACATTTTGCTTCCAAGCTTCCTTCCCTCCCCATTCTGCTTCATGGGCCTTGGGAAGGGTAATTCTTGCCTAGCAGCAGCAGCCCCGTCTACCCTGTGGCTCTGCAAAGAACGCCTGAGGGTGCCCCAAAACCAAGCCCATGGCAAAGAGCTATGACATGCATGGCACTTGCTGTCAGAATTTGTCAAGCTGCATGTACTCTTACACATGAAGATAATGAAAAGCCAGTGGGAGCAATTTGACCCATGAGGTGGAATCTGTCAAGTGACCAATTGGGGTAATTGCTGGAGCTGATAGAGCAACTTGGGGCTGGTGAGGAAGCGGCATCAGCAAAACAGCCCTGCACCACGCAGGGAGGAGGCCAGGAATTGGCTGCCATGAGCCACGTGCCCCCGGCACGGTCGCTGCTCCCCACCCTCGCCAGCCAGGCATAAAAGCACTGCCCGGGCTGAGTGCTGGCATCCACCGCTCCTGCCTTGCTCTGCTCAGGAAAAGGGTAGGTGAGTACCTGCGGGGCTCTGCCTCCTGTGACCGAGGCTGGTGAGGGCCTCCCTGGCCACAAGAGCTCTGACAGCAACTGACATGCTGGCAGCAGGCTGGGATGGCCGAAGTGCCATGAGCCAAGGCGGGAGGAGGGAGAAAGAAGCTGTGTGGCCAGGACACACCGAGTCAGGCCCTGCACAGTCTCTCTGGAAGGGGTTGTTTGACCTCAATGTCTGGAGAACAGGGTGCTAAGAGGGGCTGTGTTGGCCAAGCACAGGTGTTGGACAGTGCGGGCAAGGCAGTGGCTTTGGCCCCTGCAGCCCCAGAAAAGTACGATGAACAGGGCATAGCTCCACCAGGGTCATCTGCCACTTGCTCATGAGACCCATGCTTGGTTCCTTCTGTTGCAGGCTCAGCTCTCTCACACCAAGATGTCTTGCTACGACCTGTGCCCACCAAGAACCGGCGTTGCCGTCCCCCAGCCCATCGCTGAGAGCTGCAACGAGCTGTGCGCCCGCCAGTGCCCCGACTCTTCAGCCTTCATCCAGCCACCGCCTGTGGTTGTCACCTTCCCCGGCCCCATCCTCAGCTCCTTCCCCCAGCAAGCCGTGGTGGGCTCCTCCGGAGCACCCGCCTTTGGGGGCAACCTGGGGCTGGGAGGCCTCTACGGTGCTGGGGCCACTCAGGCCTCAGGGGGCCTCTGCACCTTTGGCAGACCCTACGCTCCTGCCGCCTGCAGCCCTCTGGCTCTGCCCCGCTACAGCCAGAGGCTGTGGGACTCCTGTGGGTCCTGCTAGAGCAACTGCTATAGCCTTCGTAACTGTCAGTAATGTAAGTACTTAGTAGAAGCTAGTCATGCCCAGTGTTGCAATGATTAATCTTTCCTATTAGCTCTTCTTTTTCTGGGTTTAATTTTTTGTTTCACTCAAGTTTCACATATCTTTTCCCTAATATGCTCTTTTGTGTGTTTTCAGTGTGTTATATTTTCACGTTTCTTTTGTTTTGTCATTATCTTTGTAAGTTGTGGCATGAACCTGTGTAAAATATTGTATTTTGTTAGCTCTGGTTGAATTTTTAACTTGACAACTATAAGAGTAGAAATATTCATCTTCATTTTTTATCTCTTTTTATTCTTCTTGTCCTCCTATTTTTTGTTTTGTGTCATCAGTCTGATTTTCCAGCTTTTTTTTTTCAATAAATCCTTTATGCATCACATTTTCAGTGTCGTTTTTTAATCTTTTCTTATTCTATATATTTTTTGAGGATTCTGCTAATTTTATACCTGGTTATCGCACAGAAGATATTCTGCTTCACTGCTTTAGTCTATATTGTCTGTTTCCTTCCAATTATATTTTACATTCCCATTTTTTACAGATTTTCTATGATTTATATTTTTGAGCAGTACTAGTCATTCATGGCCATGTTAATACTCATTTAGTGGAGAGCAACAGAGTTAAGGATTGAGAATAGCTGTTTCCATCTTTTCCATGCTGTATGTATTTTCTTTCTCTCAATATTTGTCTTTATCTTCTAACATCATATCCTGCACCTTACCTGCATGATTTTTTGGTTGTTGTCTATTCTGTGTAGTTGACCTTCATTATTATATGATTATCAGCAAAATTTAAAATAAATGATAAATTTTCTTTGGTTGATTATGCTACTATTACACATAAACCTTTGCTTTCTTTATCTTCCATGAAAATACATTCCACCTTCTCTCCTTTGATAAAATTTGTCACACTTGCTTAGTTTTAAGAGTACTTTAGAACAGTAACAGATCTCCAGACCAATGAAATACTCCTGTCTCTTATTTAATATGCAGAAATTATTATTCATTTTGAAAATATGTCCTATAAATTCTCCTCATCTCTTGTCTTTAACATCCAATCTCACCCTTTCTGACTGCTTAAAGGTCTAGAGAGATACTGGAAATAACAGGTTTTTATCACAATCTATGAAGCTCTTGCTCAAGACAGCTGTAGACACTCTGTGACAGGAGCACACTGCTATGGGCAACACAAAAGGGAAAGCAGGGCAGGGACAAAGCTGGTCAGCCCCAGCAACTAGGAGCCGCAATCTGATTAGTGAAGTGATATGATTAAGAGCATCTCCCTGTTTAGACTGATGATAATAATCACCATTGGGACACACAACTCTCATTATAACAACAAAACAGCATGCATAAATCATTAGTCAGTGCTTCTAAAATGCTCTTTTATACTTTGTTCAGGAGAGGCTAGAGAAAATTTGCAATAAGCACTTTTTTTCCCACGGGAACCCCCAAAGACTTTTGCAATTGACAGAGCATTTAAATCACAATGTTATTAAATACAGAATAATGCTACCAAGTGGCAAGAGAAACTAGAGAACTTTGATGTGGAGTTTGTTGCCCTGAGAGAGTAGTGAGACACAACTTGCTCTGACTTGCAGACTTTGTGGTAAAATGTGAATCGAGGCAAGGAATTCGCCCCTAGGCTGGGAGATGTGGATTGCAGTAATTCACTTTCTATGCCTGGAAAGTGTTTTTTGTCTTCCCCTGAAGTAAATGCAGGATAATGTTTGCTGGGGAAACAGTCACTTTAGCCAGCTATTGTTTCTACCTACCTTCCCAGCCGCAACTTCTCCCAAAGTGCAGCAATACATGTCAGAACAAAACCCACAACCTAAACACAATTCCTTTATCACTTGAAGAGAAAATGAAAATATCAGGATGAAACTGTATCACATCAAGAAGTATTCACCATAGTCATTGCAGGTATTAAGATATTTCAGCTCTGGGGAATTTCACTAGTATGACAATGAGAAGGGTCTATAAAATGCCTTGGACATGTGCAAGACATTAAAAGTTGGATAAAAGATACTGACTGTCCTCTGAAAAAAAAAACAGAAAAAGTGTAAATAATCACAATGTATGTAGAATCTTTTTCTGGAAAGTATAGTTCAAAATAGTGACGTAATACAACAAATGTGGTAACTTACACTAACAGAGGATTTGATTCAGAAAGTTGAAAGGTCATTTTTTTAATGAAAGAGCTACATTAATGTTGACCCATGGCACAATTCTAATGATCTCATTAAAGTAATGGCGTGCACCGTCTTGTTTCCTGTACATTAAGAGTAAATGTGATTGCGTAACACTGAAGCGTCTAAATCACTCACACATTTTCATACATTAACCCAACACAAAACATTCACAGGGTTGAACACCAGCTCATGAATGTTTGTGAAATCATTCCAAATAACTTTTTCCCAAGAAGCTCCAGAACATACTTGATAAGAGTTGAGACCCATGGCATCTAACAAAAACTCTTTATCTGCTTCTTCTATTTGTCCTTAAAATTCTACTTGTTTTGGTGCATCATGGGCCTCATACATATCTAGATGGTGATTTCTTTGACTTCTTGGCTCAAATCAAAGTCAGCAGAACCATGAGCTCTTTAAAAGCTGAATTTCAATTCCCACTAAACCTCTTTTAGTGAAAAAAAAATACTTTTACATCTCTCTATAGAAAGCTTTTGGGGAATTGTCACGGGTATTGTATAATCTCTGCTGATATTTGTGACCACTTTAAATACAGCTTAGATCAAAGAAGTCTATTTAAATTCGGGATAGAAAAGACAAAATCCTGGGTAGTCCTAGGAGAAGCTGCACTCTGTCTCCAATTAATTTATGAGACATTAAAGGACTGTTAAGGAAAAATGTACATGTCAGCCAAATATGAGTCTTACAAAATCTCTGAGCAGACAAGCTTATGACAACTGTGTAAAGGAAGAAGTAATACGTGGAGTCAGCTTAATGCACGTGGCAATTCCAGTGAAGTCATCATAACGATACAAGGAATTACAACGCTAACCAATTAAGACCCAAGATTAAAGAAACCATGATGGTGTAACACGGACATCACACGATATGAGAATTTGAATAAAATCATAACCATGACAAACACAAAACTTTCATCACTCAAAGCTCCTAAACAATTCCTGTTAGGCAGCCAAACACAAACCCCAGCACCAAGGGAGATTCAAACCCCACTGGAATGTTGAGAAACTCTATATAAGCTATAGTCCAAGAGTTCATCCACACACATCTTTGGGATTGTTCGGCCGCCTGAGATTTGTAAGTATGATTTTTCAGTCTATTTCTATTTATTTAATCAGAATGTGTATCAGAGTAGTACAAGAAGATTCCTATGAGCATTATAAAGTTTTTGTCCATAGTTTTTGTGAGAAGAGTGATAAATGCAGGATCTGGGAAACAGGGTGTGAGTGCAGAAACTCTGAGAAATATGTTTGCGTGTTCTAAGTAACTAGAAGGCTAAAAATTGCAGCTGAAAATACTATTTCAAATTATTATTTTAGTACTTCAAAAAATTTATAGTAAATGTATAAGATAGCCACCTTTTCACCTGTGACCAGCACCTTTCTGGGAGATATAAACAAACCCTTCTATTTCAAACAAAGCCACATTTAACTTGACTCTGTTTCCCCACTTTAAGAACTCTGTGGTAGATGTGACTGAAGTTCTTATATTGTTCTTCAGTGTGCATGTTTGCAGGAAGCGTAATACATATCCACGTAAGCCCAGAAAAAAGGTCATTCAGTGGTGTATGGTCATTCCTGGGGAGGTCTTTATACAGCCAGAAAATTTAGATCAAGGTGCTCAGGTAGTGTAAAGAAAGTTGATCAAGGCTGAATATAAAATAAATGCTATAGCACAAAAAAGTACATCAGAGCAATTTCACATGTCAACTTTTTGAAATTTATCTCATAAATCTTCTGCCTTTTTTTAGTCTTTTCCATTTTCAATTTCCACCCCATACCAAGATGTCTTGCTATGACCTGTGCCCACCAAGAACCAACGTGGCCGTCCCCCAGCCCATCGCTGAGAGCTGCAACGAGCTGTGCGCCCGCCAGTGCCCCGACTCTTCAGCCTTCATCCAGCCACCACCTGTGGTTGTCACCTTCCCCGGCCCCATCCTCAGCTCCTTCCCCCAGCAAGCCGTGGTGGGCTCCTCCGGAGCACCCGCCTTTGGGGGCAACCTGGGGCTGGGAGGCCTCTACGGTGCTGGGGCCACTCAGGCCTCGGGGGGTCTCTGCACCTTTGGCAGACCCTACGCTCCTGCCGCCTGCAGCCCTCTGGCTCTGCCCCGCTACAGCCAGAGGCTGTGGGACACCCGTGGGCCCTGCTAGAGCTAGCTGCAAAGCCCCCATGTTCTGCAGCCCATACTCCTCACCCCAATGCACCTAGTTCCTCCACAGCGCCTGTGGGCCCTGCTAAAAGTAGCAGGAGCATCTGTGTTTAATCACCTGGAGGTGTTAATGTCCTATTCCTTTGGATTAATGATCTACATTATTTCTGTCTTGGCTCTCAATTTATGCTGGTTGAGGATATTTGTTTGTCAGTGAAGGAGAGGTTGGTGTTGTTTTCCTGTAACTTTCGTTCCGATTAAAGTTTTGCTGCATAATACAGTCATCTTGCTGCTTAACCCATCTTTTAAGTGTGGCCTTGTCACCAGTCTTACAGTCTGTGAAGTTCAGCTTTTAGTATCAGGCTAACACCCTCATCACTGGCAGGCAAATGCAGAAATCTTGGTCCTACCTTTTATGGGGCACTCCCGTTGTTCCCTTGGCTACTGTTGTTTTATAGGAGCAAGAACATTTAGATCTAAGAACCACCTGTCATGGTTTAACCCCAACCAGACAGCTTTCACTCACTCACTCCCCCCCCCCTTTCTTGCCCTCCCCCTACTCCTGGAGGGATGGAGAGGAGAATCAGAAAGAATGCAACTCCCACAGGTTGAGATAAGAACAGTTCAGTAACTAAGGTATAACACAAATCACTGCTGCTACCACCATTAATAGTAATGATAAAGGAAATAACAAGGGAAGAGAATACAACACCCCATCACCAGGCGACCGATAACTTGCCCCCCAGCCCGATCAAGCACCGACTGATACCTCCTCCAACCCTGCAGTCCACCTAGCCCTTCCGGGTAACTCCTAGTTATATCCTGAGCATGACGTGCTGTGGTATGGAATACCTCTTCGGTCAGTTTGGGTCAGGTGTCCTGTCTCTGCTCCCTCCTGGCTTCCCCTCCTCCCTGGCAGAGCATGAGGCTCACAGAGTCCTTGGCCAAACCAAAACATCACTTTTTTCAGCTCTGTTCCCAGCCCCAAAGTCAAAACACAGCACTGCACCAGCTACCAAGAAGGAGAAAAATGACTGTTACTGTTGAACCCAGGACACCACCCCCACCCCCCTATTTTCTTCATCAGTTATTTGAATGCTTCTTCCAAGGATAGCAGATCTGTGAACTTATCTGGGCTCAATGCCTAATCCCAGTGTACAGCCTATAAAGCCATCTACAGACAATGGCTCAGGAAACCGTCCCCTCAAAGAAAACTGGAGGACTAGGAATGATTTCAAATAACAAAGGATCTACTGCAGAGGAAAGAAATTCCTCCTTATCACAGGAAAATTGTCACTTCTGTGGCATTCCAAGTAGAGAAGTGAATATTCCTCCTGGAGCAGGCTGAAGATCAAATGAAAACTAGAGAGATTCTTATGCAACACCACGGAGATTTAATGCTAAAGAGAAATCAGCCATTCACAGAGAATCACAGCAATACAAGGGGAATACAAGTGTGATGCAGGTATCATGCTCTGGTACCAGTGCTCTGTGCAGGACACACGGGACAACCAAAGTGATAGAAGGATGCAGGAGATACCAGGGCTCAGTCATGCATTGAGAGCACACCATGGCACAGGGCAGTGGGCTGCTGGGTACCCACAGCCCCCTCAAGCCCCATGCCAGAGCAGCTGATGCATGCTGCTGGTCCCCGTGGCTCTTGCTCCACATCCTGGTGCCATGATCCTTGCTTCGGGGTTATTGCTGGTTCTGGGCTCCATCCTGTGGACTTCAGAAAGCCCCGCAGCTCCCACGGCGGGACCTGCCCCACCTCTGGGAGGTAATGCCAGTGCCACAGGAGGAGAAGCCAGAGCTGTAGGACCTCCCACAGCTGCCAAAGCCACTGGACCCGTATTGACCCCCATAGCCCAGGGAGCCCCCATAGCCCAAGTCAGCTCCATAACCTAGGGAATGGCCATACCCAAGTGAGCCTCCATAGCCTCCCAAGCCAAAGGAGCCCCCATAGCCCCCCATACCAGAAGAGCCCCCACAGCCCCGGAAGCCCCCATAGCCTAGGGAACTACCATAGCCCCCCAAACCAAAGGAGCTCCCATAGCCCCGGGAACCTCCATAACCCCTCAAGCCCAGGGAACCTCCATAGCCCCCCAAACCAAAGGAGCCCCCATAGCCCAAGGAGCCTCCATAGCTCCCCAGACCCAGAGAGCCCCCATAGCGTCCGGAGCTTTGAGAACTAAAGGACCTCCCCAACAGGGCTGGACCTGATGATCCCACAACGCTCTCCTGAGGAAAAGAGCTGAGTATGGGGCCCGGCAGTGTCACCACAGCTGGCGGGGGGAAGATCACTGCTCTGGAGTCAGGACACTGCTGCACACAGGGCTCATTGTAACTCTCGGCAATGGGCTGAGGGCAGGTCACCTCACAGGGTCGGCAGGACTCACTGTAGTAAGACATCCTTCTGGTGTTGGCTCTGAGTCTGCAGTAAGGAGTTTTAAGGTAAATGAACAAATACTAGAAGTGGGAAGGAGGAGATTAACCAATATTATTAAGCAATGATTCTGTGTTTGAAGTATCAGAATTTAACAGGGATGCGGATATATTTCTGCATGCTAAAAAAATTAAACTCATTCTTGTACCAGCTCCACCTCTCTCCTTTCTTTCATCTCATCATGATCACCTTTGGAAACAATACAATATGAAAGAGAAATTCAGTACTGGATAAATTGGATGGACAGATATGTCTATAGAAACTTGGATAGGCAAGGGTGTGCCTACAAAGTGAACAGTGAAAAAAAGCCAACAGGAATCATTCCAATTCTAATCAGGAAAAGGCTCATTGGCTGTATGCATTAATTCAGACTTCATGATGTGTAAGTCACCTCAAGTACTTCTATAGCTTGACAACTATTTCCTATCCTAATGCTGTGACTCCTGATGCTGCATCTGGACAAAGACCCATTTTCAGAGGGAAACAAAGGATCTAAGTCTGAAAAAACACATGCAGGAATCATCTCTGTGACAAGAACATTGTTAAAGTAAATGCTAATAGTAGTAGAAAGAATGAGTGAAGTCACACTTACCTTGTTCACTGCTGAGACTGAGACAAGAGAACTGGATAGAAGGCTGTGGGTGATACAAGGTTTTATACCCTTCTTTAAGCCAGCCTTTGTGCCTCTGGGCCTAATCTGTTACAAAACATGATAGTGGGAGTTCTGATTTTGTCATCTTAGCACTGTCCCTCCCAAATCTTAGTGTGGGTGTGATACAACTGCTGATATGATCACTTACCTGTGATTGTCATTTTAGGGGATTTGGAGAACTTGAAGCTGAAGGGCTGCCATACAATCATCAACTGGAAGCCGGAACAAGAGTCATGCATCACATCAGTCCAATTTTAATGTTCCAGGTAGTGCTTACATGGTGTGGAACCCTTTATGTTGCCACGTGCACAAACCAGGTGAAGGTCACCACACAAGCTACATGTGTAGCTCTGAGAGGACACAACTTCTAGCAGCGGACTTGAAGAGGACACAAGTTGATCTCCTTGCAGGGATCCATAAATGCTGTTACACAGCAGAGCAAAGAGTTGACATAATACAGACTCAGTCCTGATGGGATATCACTATTGCTATTAACAGCATGAAAGCAGAAGACCTGGCAAAGGTTTTAGCTCGTGGTCTAAGCTTTTCATTTTCCCTGTAGTTAACCCAGGCACTGAGATCTGTGTCTGATTTACTGCACCTACCAAATGGTATAGGGGAATGATGACCCTCAGTGACATGGTTTAATGGTGGTCTTGGCACTCCTGGGGTAACGGTTGGACTTGCTGATCTTAAAGGTCTTTTCCAGCCTAGTTGATTCTATGATTCTATGCAGTCCCATCCTCACTAGAAGTGTTACCTATAACACATCAGTCCATGAAACCTTTTCTAACATCCTTCTCTCAAGTTTGAGACAATTCAGATGAGACTAGATCAACAGAGGAATGGATGGCCTAAGTGACATCTCCAAAGAAGCAGAAAAGACCTTACTGAAATAGGCAGACTCCTGACCTTCTCTCTGTCTAACCTTACAACCAAACATGTCAAAATTTTGTTTGAAATCTCAAGTTCTAGAAGTTCTGTTAGAAATACATTTCAAAACAATCTTGATTTTCTCCTCATTCCCTAAAGTCCTGACCAATTAAGAAGTGGGAAATGAATAAAATAGTAGAAAAAAAGGGATATATTTTAATAAGTCTGTGGCATCATATAGTTATTTGCAAATCTGTTGTTTTCTAATTTTACAATATTGCAAAAGATAGGCTATAAATTACCTCTAAATTGTAAGATACTTATGCCTTTGAAGTGTCATCAGGATTTGCTGATTATAATGAGGCACCTGGAAGATAATGACTTTAAACTGCTTCACAAATACTCGTTAATAGTTAGTGTTTGCAATTTCTGTTATTATCATATCAAATGAAGAAAGGTAAGATTTAGAAGTGCCCCTGTTATGAAATAGCATCATTTAAAAATATGGCAGCCTATTATTTTGATTCCCCAATCAGACCATGGTTTGTAACTTCACTACTAGCAACGATGTGATTTTCATTCAGATCGGTGATCAGTAATACTTTTGCTAAGTATGAATAAGTTTGGGGAGATTATGATATGTCAGTGCTACCAATTGTAGCTAGTAGCTTCACCTCCCAAGCCAGTATTTTGCTACTATGCCTGAAATGTCTATTGCCTTACATTCTATTGAGGAAAAAAACCAATAATCTGAATTTTCAGGCTTAACTGGCTATTATTCCATGTTTAGAAAAACAAGGGGTTAGATAGATCGATGATCTAAAAGCTTTACTCTTAGACTCTCCAGATCACTTGCTCTCACCTGTAAGTGATTCTCTTATGCATGAAGCTGTACCTAATGACACTTCTCTTCATTCACACATCCCCAGATTGATGCTCTTGCACAAGATTTGAATGCTGATCATTGCATGTTGTGTATAATCATTGTACAACACATCAAATGTGAATTTTTAGTAGGTGTTTGTAAAGCCTCTTATCATTCCTAGGAGGATTGCGAATATCATTGAAGTGTCACTGTCTCAATGACATTCCAAAGACAGCAGTAAAAGTAACAGTGGAATCCACCTTATCATTCACAAGCAATTACTGGTATTTGATCTGCAAATGCAGATGTTTAAAACCCCATGTTTCTAAACCAGATGTAGATACCTGAAATTCTCTCTCTATTACCCCTCCCTCTTTTTATCCATCTTTTTACAGAATTCACTTAAATGTCACTATTAATAAAAGACAGATGACTTTAACGGATCCTTTTTCATCAATCCTAAAAGCAGCAGAGGCCCAGTGTTGGTGCTGGGTATTAGATGTCTGAAAGATGTCATCATTCACCAGACCAGTGCCCAGAACTTAGTACTGAAATTGTATCACACTTGTTTTGGAAGGTGGGGAGTGGCAATGCAAAGCCAGCAAAATTAAATCCCTCAATAGGAAGGTTGTTTTGTTACTGAATAGGACCTGAGGCACAAAGGGTGTTTCATATTTGTAAGCAGTTTAAGAAAGATATAAAAGGTGCCTCTACTCCTAGCCTCTCCATCCACATCTCCTGGTTTAGTCTCCTTGGTGAACAGGGTAAGTCTGATTTGGTTCAACCTTTATGCTTCTCAAGTTTTTTTCTGTCGATGTTAAATTCTACATGATGCTATGGATTGGCAGCATAGAGAACTGTGAGAGACAGAAGGTGTAATTCTTAGAACAAAATGGAAAGTTTTGCTATGCCACTTGGAATAACCATTTCCCAGACATTTTAGTTCCAATTCAGGAACTACAAGCTTTATAAATTTAAAAAATATCAAAGTGATCACAGTATCTACCACCTTGTAGTATTTGCACAAGAAGGGTAAATACTCGTCTTTGGAAGATGGGTACTACTGGGGAATCAATATGAAACTACAGAAATAGCTGCCTATATCTGACACTTTTAATTAACATGCTGTAAACATATTACCAAACTTCAGTGTGTTTCAGCTCTTGTTAATATAATTAGATTCATCATGCTACAAGCAAGAGCAGCTGATATCAAGTGGCATCCACTCCGCGTGACACTAGACGTCTGCATCTAGAGTCAGGTGAATACTTCTGCATCTGAAACCTGCTTACTACTGTGCATTGCAGATTCAGAGCCAACACCAGAAGGATGTCTTACTACAGTGAGTCCTGCCGACCCTGTGAGGTGACCTGCCCTCAGCCCATTGCCGAGAGTTACAATGAGCCCTGTGTGCAGCAGTGTCCTGACTCCAGAGCAGTGATCTTCCCCCCGCCAGCTGTGGTGACACTGCCGGGCCCCATACTCAGCTCTTTTCCTCAGGAGAGCGTTGTGGGATCATCAGGTCCAGCCCTGTTGGGGAGGTCCTTTAGTTCTCAAAGCTCCGGACGCTATGGGGGCTCTCTGGGTCTGGGGAGCTATGGAGGCTCCTTGGGCTATGGGGGCTCCCAAGGCTATGGGAGCTCCCTGGGCTTGGGGAGCTATGGGGGCTCCTTTGGTTTGGGGGGCTATGGAGGCTCCCAGGGCTTGAGGGGTTATGGAGGTTCCCGGGGCTATGGGAGCTCCTTTGGTTTGGGGGGCTATGGTAGTTCCCTGGGCTATGGGGGCTTCCGGGGCTGTGGGGGCTCCTCTGGTATGGGGGGCTATGGGGGCTCCTTTGGCTTGGGAGGCTATGGAGGCTCACTTGGGTATGGCCATTCCCTAGGTTATGGAGCTGACTTGGGCTATGGGGGCTCCCTGGGCTATGGGGGCTCCCTGGGCTATGGGGGCTCCCTGGGCTATGGGGGTCAATACGGGTCCAGTGGCTTCGGCAGCTGTGGGAGGTCCTACAGCTCTGGCTTCTCCTCCTGTGGCACTGGCATTACCTCCCAGAGGTGGGGCAGGTCCCGCCGTGGGAGCTGCGGGGCTTTCTGAAGTCCACAGGATGGAGCCCAGAACCAGCAATAACCCCGAAGCAAGGATCATGGCACCAGGATGTGGAGCAAGAGCCATGGGGACCAGCAGCATGCATCAGCTACTGTGGCATGGGGCTTGAGGGGGCTGTGGGTACCCAGCAGCCCACTGCCCTGTGCCATGGTGTGCTCTCAATGCATGACTGAGCCCTGGCATCTCCTGCATCCTTCTATCACTTTGGCTGTCCCGTGTGTCCTGCACAGAGCACTGGTACCAGAGCATGATACCTGCATCACACTTGTATTCCCCTTGTATTGCTGTGATTCTCTGTGAATGGCTGATTTCTCTTTAGCATTAAATCTCCGTGGTGTTGCATGAGAACTTCTCCAGTTTTTGTTTGCCTTTAGTTTCCTCCAGGAGCAAAAATCCTTGGTACACTGTGTTAACAAACAATCTGCCCTGCTCAATCACTCTATAAAGTGCAGAATGGGAGATTAATTGAGATC